CTGCAGTGCCCACGGAAGATGCTGTTTGTAGCTATTAGCCATTTCAGTGCTGCTAATAATGTATTTGTATGCACCAGGTTACTAAAAGGAACTGCCTACCACTGGGACCTGATGCTCTCAGGTTTAATCAACATTCTCATGTCGGTGTTGGGGTTGCCATGGATGCATGCTGCCTTTCCCCATTCCACAATGCATGTGCGTCAGCTGGCCTGCGTGGAGCAGCGCGTGGAGGGAGGATACCTCTACGAGACGTGAGTCTGGCCAGCTGGAGATCCACAGCAAATGCACAAAAGACGTGATGATCTTCTACAGTTTGTTGACCCTATACCTGAAAAGCTCATACAGCATGATGGCCTTACTGTATATTCAAAGGCACCTACGACATGACAAACTCATATTCCAAAGGTCCCTACAACATGATAGCTTTGTATGATTGCCCATAAACCATAGAACTAATGCTTCACAATGATCTTATACACTAAAAGCTAACACAGCTTGATGACCTTGTATATAGCATTAACAATAAGACTACAATAGCAGTAGGACTCCATTAGACTGTAGAATTCCTTTGATTCCTAGAGGCGAGTGAGTACAGTACATTTTTTTTTTCTTTGTGTGCCAACAGGATTGTGAGTGTGAAGGAGACACGGCTTACATCGCTGGTGGCCAACATCCTCACTGGTGTCTCGGTCTTCTTGCTGCCTGTACCTCTGCAGTGGATACCCAAGCCTGTGCTATATGGCCTTTTCCTCTATATCGCCCTGACCTCCATTGATGGAAACCAAATGTGTGACCGCATGGCCCTTCTCCTCAAGGAGCAGGTAGGCTTGAATCCTATCAGCTCTTTTCTTCTTGGCCAAGACCTGTGGCAAACCCAACACTGTTACTCACCTCATCCATTTTTAAGAATGGACTAGGACAGAAGCAGGCCTATTGGGAACAGGCTTCATATGTAATTCTTATATAGTGGCATAATAATAGATTGAGGGGGACCTGAACGCATTTGCTAACTACTGCTCTCCCATCTTCACAGACATCTTATCCCCCTACCCACTACATTCGCAAAGTCCCACAGAGGAAGATCCACTACTTCACAACCTTACAGATAACACAGCTGCTGATCCTGTGTGCCTTTGGCATGTATCCTCTACCCTACATGAAAATGATATTCCCCCTACTCATGATCTTACTACTTCCTATCAGGTAAGCTCCTGATTATGGCCTGCCGATTTTACTTTAATGCTCCAAAATCTAAGGCTATATGTTTATTCGCCCAAGCCAATTGTTTTGTTTACACGTGTATTTAGCATAGCCTAACCATATAGTCACTAACCATTTCTCTACACTTTCCCCAGGAACAACCTGTTGCCCAGAATCATCGAGGCCAAATACCTGGACATTATGGATGCCCAGCACATGTAAAGGACTGTAGGACTCAAACTATAAAAGGCCATTATCTGTTAAAACACAAGAGGAAAATGTAGCAATTTAGTCAGCAACTTCAATGACAGAAAGGGATAGGAGTCACATGACCAAGTATAGGTGAACCAGCCAGGTGTGCTCTGTGTCTCATTCTGTTCTCTCTCTTCTTTAGCTTTTGTTACTACTTGTCTATGAAGTTTGTTGCCAAAGCTTATCAAGTCATATATCTCTAACTGAGCAAACCAATATGCAGCTGTAGTATGAAATATGCTGGTGTTTGTACTGCGAGGAAGTAGGAGGAATTTTCACCGAAGGAGTATTTTCGCCAGTGTATGAATTGTGGAGCTCTTTATATGATGCTTTGGATAAAAGCATCTGCTAAATGAATAAATGCAAATGTAAATAATCTGCTGATGACTAGGGGATACAGGAAGACTAACTAGGTTATTACCTGTGAGAGGTGACTCAAATACGGTCCTGGCTGTTGCACTTTATCACACGGTTAATTCTGTTCCTTTCAGTTACCATCTTTTTTTCTTATAAAATGATTTTTACATTTGGCTGATTAAACACATGTGCTAAGATGGCGTGGTGCTTCTGAGGCATTTAAACATATGATATCCATCACCTCTGACCCTATACATATAAGCCAGCTCCAGGTATCAGTCACTGCATTTTGGTGAAGATGATTTGTCAGCAACATCTGTCTGACCTACAAGAGATATCCCAGCAAAAGCATTGAATAAATCTATATAATAATAAACTGTTTCTCTCAGCTGCACATGAACAAAAGCAAAGCTGTTAAGGCAACATTGCAAAGTGTGACAGTGAGACCATCTCTCATTGTAGTGCTTCTCTGTTTGCTCTACAACAGTGACCATATCTATGTTCTCTCCTTCTTTATTAAGTCAGTTCCTGCTGTTTGCCCAGGTCATGTGCCAGTGTCAGTCTGTTCCATTACCCATCCACATTGTAATCCGGCATCCCTGCATTTACAGGCAGACTCCAAAGACAGCTGATGTAAGCTGATGAACGGCATAGGATCTGAGTTATGGTGCACCATACTGCACATTAGTATGCCTTCTGCGAAAGTTGTAACCGTGCCAGTCTGAAGGTTGTTTATTTTACTGACAACGTTGAAGGGACCTGTTTTGATGAACCTCTCAATGGTTATATGATTTGAACCTACTGCATTTTATTTTTTTTAAGTTATTGGTAACAGTTCTAAAGCAGATATTATACTGTAAACAAATAATGCCTATTATTTATAGTAATAATATATATTTAAAAAAGGATAAAACTAGTGATTTAAAAATGTTTTTATTAAACTGTATTATTACTATAAGCAACAAGCAAAGCTAATCCACATGTTAGTATGAGTGGGCAATGTGTCCATACAGAACGTCTTTTACAGTGTATCAGTACTTTGCTCCTTTGATTGTAAAATAACTAACCAAAATATTGATTCATATAAATTTATGTATACAGTGCAACTTTAGCTTTGAGGGAAAGAGGGCCAGTAGCAGTAGATATATAGCTAACTTTCAGATCCATCAGAGACATCCACAGAGATGCTGAATGTCAGTTAGATTTAGGGTTTATTTGACCACCAGCAGCCTGGAAGGTGGAAGAAACTGAGAATCTTATGAGAGAAAAGCAGTAGAACTTATGCACCCATGTTCAAAACCTAATATTGGCATCTTACTGTGGTGTTCTGCCTCTTTTCCTTTCTGTCAGAGCCTTAAAGCCCACTTGACTGCACCAGTGATATCACAGTAATGGTGGACATTAGGACTAGAAATAAGCGAATGGTTCTAACACAAATAGTATGACCTCTGTAAGGCCAACTCTCGATTTTTCTTCAACTCTGGATTCATGGTTCCATCTTCAGCACTTAAGTTCCCAACAGAATAGGGAAAAGGCTGGAGAACTGCTAATATTTGTTCAAATCACTAAAAATTCTACTCATTTTATGTGAATCCTTAAGAGTTTGAAGAATATTTCTTTGAATGTCATAATACTTAATAATTAAAATAGAATTGTTGGCCAGATCTACAGAATTGGGCAGCATGGCGGTTCAGTGGGCAATTCTGTTGAGTTGGGAGTTTAAATCCCTCCTTTGTTCTGGGTGTGGATTTTGAGTATTCCCCTTGTGTTGTTCCCTTCTGCAGTCTAAAACGTGTGGTTAGGCAGCTGGCATCCTTAAATTGCTCATAGTGTTCACTTGTGTGAGTGTGTGAATCCTGTGATAGACTGGCATCCCATTCCGGGTACACCCCAGCCTTGTGCCCTATGCTTCCTGGGATAGGCTCCAGGCCACTTGCAACCTTGACCAGGCCCAGTGATTAGATGATGATGGATGTAGAGACAAAAACTCAATCCTGCCTGACATTTACTGTTGTTACATTTGTTTGTGTGTGTGTGTGTGTGTCTATATCAGGTGAATTTCAATGAGTTCCATTTTTTGAAAAGTTGCTCTATGATTGGAGATATATATATTGATTTGGAAATTTTTGTGTTGCTTTGTATTTTTTTGCCCTTAGATAAGCTGACGACACACTCCACACAGAACATAATTCTCTGAAATTATGTTAGGTGTACTTCAATTTTTTTCTGAATTTATGAATGTGTAGTAATTTTAAGTAATACAAAACAATTGGTTTCTTAATGTCTACAGAATATTTTGTCAAAATAAGCTATTTTAATGTAATGTTTAATGTAATGTTGACTATAATATGTAAAACAAAATCAAATAAAAATACATGACAGAGTTCATCAGTCTATCATTGTGTGTCTTTGTATAGATATTATCCAAAAAATAAATTCAAAGTGTAAAGCATATTGGTTGTTCAGCAAATACCATCATCTAAGGCATTTGCTTATATTATTTGTACTGGAAAACTGTTTTACTATGGTTATGCATGTTGATAAACTGGCTTACATTAAAACTATGTATGCGGTATACAGATTTTTGTCAGACCTACCATTTTTATTTGTTCATTTTTATGTGCAATGTTTGTGATGTTTCTGCTGTGAATATCCAAGCCACAATGCCATCTTCTGGTTAAATAAGCACTAGCTATCCCTCACTAAAATAAAGTATCTAGAGTTGTCATCCACACACAGATTAGAATGTCTAGATGTGCTGCCTGTTTAGTGTTGAGCTCAGTCCTTATTGGACACACACCGGAATTACTTTTATCTTCTAAATATTTGTTATTCTGAACTGAATTCTGACTCAACACTTATTATAACCATCTGTAACATAAGAATAGAATCGAGATAATACAGACATCAAACTGAAATTCCCTTGGCCCTTTTTTCATTGTATGAAATATGTTGAGGGATTAGTGAGTATAAAAATTGAGAAATTTCCCTTTTGCAATAAGAAAATCTATCAACATCAATCTGCAAAAGGAAAAAAAGTGGGTGGAATACCAGGAGAAGTTCTTTTGCCTGACAGCTGCTCTTTTACTGCTTTCGTAGTATAATGAAGACTTTAAATGATAAAGGCTTGCATGATGCCTCACAGTTTATTGCAAAAGCCAAAAACATGATCACATTTAGCAGCTTTGTCATGAATTCTTTATCCACAAATAAAAAACTGTGAGGTAGTTTCATATCCAGTAAGGGTCATGGTAGTTCATCTCAAAAAGCACTTACACCTGAAAAAGTACATCATAAGACACTAACATGCATGAATACAGAGAAAAACAAGCATTCATTCACACAGGCACATAAGAAAAAAACAGTTATTAGATATCTCAAACTACATGCCTTTGTGATCCATGAGAACTTGGCAGATACAGAGCTTGGACCATGTTGACTCCAACTCACTGTTCCTTTGTTCCATCCCATGTCATGTGACTCTGCTCACCATTCCACAGTATGTTTCACATATTACATCTCCAACAGCATAACAAATGGACTTGAACTGCATCAAGCAAACATACAGTACATGTACTGTTTTAACTCTGATATTTTAGACTCTTTAGAAAAGAGATTAAACAAATTAGGGGCAGAATATTTGCGAAGACACAATAAAATAATAAAACAATAAAATTATTTTGATTGTTAAACCATCCATAAAATAGAAAGAATGTGTACATTCTTGAGGCTTCCATCTGTCTGCTGTATTAGATACTTTGCTGAGTTAATGGTCATTTGCACACAGCTCACCTGGTTTGCAGTCTTACTGCCTGGCTCTTCTCTTCCATTCTCAACATCTCCCCAATAGCATTTCCGGCCACTTAAAGCCAGGTCCCCCAGTGACTGTGTGAAAATACGTACAACAGTGCCATCATCTGGTTAAATAAACACCTCACCCCACCCACTCTCTTATACACCAGCATTACACTTTAATCCTTTCTGTAAATCTGACCTATTCTTTCTGCTACCTCCTAGCACATCTTCCAGAACATTGGACTTTCCTCACATTCCAGGATCGCAAAGATACTATTTCAGGGGTTATTTTTGTCCATGCTCCCATATAATACATCTATGTGCAGTAGCACCTGTAGGAATATTTGACTCTGGTGGCCATCGGGGACCAGTTATATTTTTTTGGGGTAGGTGCACCATCTCTTCCATGGTTTTGCTTAGAAAAATAACACATATTTTGTTTTTATTATTTTGATGTGGGGTGGGAAGGTATTTACTTGAGGCTCTGTTTATGCACCAGTCACATGATACGCCCACCTCTGGCAGACCTGTGCTGCTAGCTGAGTTTTTACTGTATGAGCACAAGCACTTAATGCAGATGCAGTTACTAGGTAAACTGTTATCAGTCGCTTCCTCCCAATATCTTTTTTTTCCCCCCTGATCTTGATGTTGACTTAAAATCAACATCCACTGTTACACTTGAGGCTTATGTGAAATGGGTATATCTGAAATACCATAGTGTAGAATGTCAGCACAATTCACAGTCACCATCACGTTAGACTGGGCATGATTCTCACTGTAACACAACCTGTGTACTCTCCCTTGCATAGATTTAGCTACTAGGGTATTAGTAAAATAAATATTAGGCAAGATATGACAATTTGTTTTAATAATATTTTAGAATAGTTTAGGTGAACTTTATTGATCCCAGAGGGAAATTCTTGTGTATATACCACCAAGGTACATAGAGAACAGATAAACGTATATCTTGTTCAAAACAGACAAGGTGCAAAGATAAACGTAGTGGAAGCAAATTTAAAAATGCACAGTACACAAATAGAATCTTTAAAAAACAATATTAAGGAATTTTAATTAAATAAATATTGAGGAAAAAAAGAATACATAAATCAATCATAATAAATTGGATGGTAATGTGTAATTAAAAAACGGACAGCGTCGGACTTTTCCTGTTGAAGCTGGGATGCTTCCTGGCTTATGGCTCGGGGAGGGAATGGCACGTCGGGAGCAGGTAGACAGGATCGCTGGTATCGCACCTTAGCATATAGCAGTGGGATTGACCGGTGGCTAAAGGGGTTCCAAGATAGTGCCCCATGAAACGAATGGGCAGAAACGTTCTTAATGTTAATTGTTCAATTTTGCTAGTACTCTTACCCGCCACCGTCTCCAGCACTTTTAGCGGCCTTCCTGCTTAAATGCATTACCTCTCTCCGGAGTTCGTTAAACAGTTACGCAACATAGTACTAACTTAAAAGTTGTATGTTCATTTTGCAAACTATATGATGGACAAAATGTATACCATTATGATGACTGATAAAAAAAACTCAAACAGAAAATGTCTTTCTGAGTCTAACCCGTATTATTATTCCAATCAAATTAGAAAAAACGATTTTTCTTCATTCTGCAGTAACATTCCGAAAGTGCTTCTGCGACGCTATCGATGAGCGCTATTTCCGCGTAAGCGCAGTCAGTTCCTTGCGTCTTCCTCCTTCCGCGATGTCCCCAAAACTTCTTACTCTAAAACGGCCACGTATGCCATTTCCATCGTGCTGCCCCACCGTCCAATAAGCGAACCGACCCCGAGTGCAAAACGGCAATCCCCCTGTGTAGCAACTGACTATGAGGCTGTCGTCTATTAACCAATCAGTGACAATGACTGTCACTGACAGCTCCTACACCCTTTAGCAGATCTAATCATCGTTGCGCGGGTTCCATGAACTCACCAATAGTCTTAACGCTTCCTCCGCATTCGTTCGGCGTGACAATAACTGACCAATAAGCGTCTCCCAAACTCTGAACACGCTCCGCAGTTGTTTTTTTTACTGGAATAAGCCCTGTTGTCAAGCATGACTCCCATGTATCCTGATATACAGGCGGACAACCAATCAGCGTAAATGTTTAGTTTACTCGACCGACCATTGAACCGGATTCGATTAGTCTGTAGAACGTTCGATGGACGTTTTTTTTTATCCAATTACAATGTGAATCGTGCCTTTTTCCGAAACCTGCCCGTTTTCTGACCAATTACAGAGGAGCAGGGCGGGGCTCAGCATTACGAAGGCTGTTTGACAGCAAGCAGAAACAGAATACTGCTATGGTATCCTGGTGGCAGTGTCTGTTTACATGAATACTGGGGGGAAAGTAGTACAGTAGTCAGTTACCTGAAGCCATTCAATGTTATTATAACGCTTCTACTTGATCTTTTAGATAAAGAAAGGGAAAGAAGCACAGATTTCACCCCTCACTCGATACGACACTTCTTCTCCACTAATGTGCTATTTCCACAAATGGAAAAGGGGCTTCAGCTGGGAAACTTGAGCATTTCTCTTGTGCTCCTGCTGCTGCTGAAAGCCCTCACGGGGACTGCTCAGAGCTCGGCCGGGAGGAGAGCCGAAGCCACCGCCGCTCTGGGGTCAGAGACGGTCGAAGATGGTCCCAACGTCATGGAGCGGGCTTTGGGAAGCGTCGGCGCTCCGGTGACCGGAGACGTGACCGTGGAGGATGACGAAAACGGGCCGGCGGAGGAGGAGGACTCAGGGGGAGGCGACGAAGACGCCAGGCTGAAAAGGTGGGCTTGAAGCATTCGAGCTGTAAAAGGTGGAAAGTTTAACGACAGTTATTTTAATACAGGCGGGACATAAACATAAACAGAACGGCTGGTTACTGAACTTTCTCTTCTCTCCTCTGGGGAACGGCGGCCGATATCGCACCGCGTTCCCCTTTGTTAGCTGCGCTGTCAGCCTGTCGCTTCTTTGGGGGAACTTATCGGCAGGAGCCGTCCCCGTGTTCACTTTCCCGGGACTTTCCTGATTAACACACTCACTTCGGGGCGCCTGAACTTTGCTGCTTAACATACTGTACAGACGCTTGGCTGCTTTTTTTGCGGGGCGCTGCGACATCGAGGGAGGCTCTCCCCTGCGCCACCCCGTCCTTTTAATAGACATTTTCCGTTGGACGCGGGCTCATTGTTGTCCGACTTTGAGAGAAGTTCTGCTGGAGAAACATGAAGTTTTTCGACATTATAGTTGGCAGTCTAGATCACTGCGGACCCGATTTGATTGGGTGTCTGAAAGTCTGTTCTGTGTGTTTGTTTACATGCGTGTTTCCGTTTAATTTGGATAACCGATTACAGGTCCAGTCAAGACCAGTAAGGATAAGCGAAGGCTTGTCGCCAGTTAAAATGTAACCAAAAGTGGCTCCAGGAGCTGAATGTTTACAGGTGTCGGTACCGGTGCAGGTGGATCCGCTCGGATCCTCCGCTAATTTCTGCAATGCAGCTGGTCCATTCTCACTGACTGCATTTTTTTTAACAAACATGTAATCAGGTTGGCTTTAAGTGAAGTTTAATTCGGTCATTTAAAATCAACTCGCCCCATTTGATTTTAACTTGATTTTCTCCTCCGCTAGGTTTAGTAGGATGTTTTCCCGTTTATGGTGATCACGTCAGCAGAAAAACAATTCCACACTGGATAAGTAAGCCGTGCGTTTCTTGTGCCAATCTCTAATGATCGCTGATTAATCATATCGTATTACGCTAATGAATTTAATTGTTGCGAAGTACCTTCCAAGTAGTTTTACTGTGAAAAGCTATACCACGCCTCGTTTCCCTTGGTGAACTAGATTTTTTTGTTGTTTAGGATTCGCCGCGAAGTGCTGTCGCACGCCCATTTTGGCTCGATCAGACCCCAAGGTGTAGCACGAAATGTGTACTAATAATTGTAATAATAATTGGTGTTAGCTTTGGGAAAGCCTGCACAGTGAGGTCCGTCTGGATCCGAATGAGGTGCCATGCTGCACCTGCTCCGCCTGGCCGCCTTGCGGGTCTCCCGAACTTTCCAGCCTTCAGTGAGCGATCCGGCACGCCGCCGTGTACATCCCAGCACAGACGGCATGTGTTGGGTCATGTCTTTACAGTATTGTTTTTAAGCGACTTTACCTTGTTTGCTTTTGCAAGCGCTGCTCAATCCTCGCCAAGCTGTGCATTGTCGTGGACGCAAATTGTTTAAATGTGAGTTTGCTGGACATGACGATGTTTGGCGTGACTTTTGATTACAAAGCCATTGATTTTAAGCAGATGGTTCATGTGCAGTTTAAAATCGTGTTAGATGTTGTGTTTGTTTACTACCAAGAAATTTGACTGAGCCGCAAAAAATAGTTTGCAGAAAATATGTTGCATGCGGGGTTCATTTTCATTAGAAATCCCACTCTAAAATATTTAGATATCTAAGGTAGAAGTTAAATGTAGGTAACTATGGATAGATGCCTATTTTGATTACACTCACTCTTTTTTTTTTTTTTTTTTTGCAGTTAGGGATGTTAACATTTGAGCAATGCAGATGTAATGTAACTGTTAATAATTAAAAAAAAAATCTCGTAAAAGTGCATTTTATAATGGTTGTCCAGCCATTTATTGACATATTATATTAGTGATAATGGCCAATGAAAGAGGCCATTGAAGACCCCATGTGCCATAGTCACTCCTAGGATTCGGGCTGACTCTCAAGATCTCTCCTCAATTGATGAATCAAACTTCAGATTCTCAATGGTGCTCGTTCCCATGGCTTGTGACGTCATGGTTAACTTGCACAGATACTAATTGCCATCTAATTGTGACTAGGGGAAAACAGTCATTCTTATTTTATTTGCATGTTCCTTTTGATGCCCAATGTGATTGTGCTTTTCAAAACTGTGGCATATTTTGATTTTATCATTGACTTTAAGTTCGCAGTGCATACAAGAAGTGTGTGTATATATGTGTGTGTGTGCGTGTGGAAGAGTGTGTGAGGTGAGATGCACTTCATGATGTGCAAAGAAAATGCTTTGTATTTATAAATGGCACTCAGAACAGCTGTGTGTATAATAGTATTCTTGTAATAACTGTTCACAGGTCATTAGTAAAACTTCCCTGCAGAGTTGGGCTAGATTAGGGTGAATGGCTGAAGTGTTCATCATATTTGTATGAACATGGATTTATGGTGCTTTTTCAGGTTTGGCCATTTCTGCTGAACACCGTGCATTCTTTGGGCTCTTCCCAATAATGTACCTCTACCTACTGGACAATAAAATGATCCCTTTTTAGAAGTATTTGTTTTATTTGATTGAGATTTGTTTTGCCCAGAGTAATTTGCATAGTTTACCGTTTTAGCCTTTCACCTATTTAAACAGCGTAAGATAAGCTAAAGCTACATTAGGCTCATAACCTGCTTAGGGATACAGTGGCAATTCCTCCCCTATAAACCTAGTGGGTCTCTGTGATTAAAAATAGTGCTTTTCTTTTTGGTGGAAGAGTCAGTGGGTGTGACTGGTAGATCCCAAGGCAGCGCTGAGTATGGGAGACGACTCGCCCCAGATAGTCGCTGCAGAGGGATGGAAGGTGAGCACTCCCTGGTTCCCCAGACAGACGGAATGTGTGTACGCGCGCGCGCACACACACACACACACACACACACACACACACACACACACACACACACACACACACACACATCTGTATAAGCTCCTTGGGGAGAGCTCGCAGAGGAGGGGAGCCCACTGCTCATTGTCAGGACAGTGACCTGATTAGGTTCACTTTAATTCACAGGTGATAGCCTATCAGCAACATGGATCCAGCACCTTGTTTCCATACAGCATGTCAAGCATGTTCATGTTAATTGCAGGAGAGTGAACTGTATCTTTACAAAGGTTTTTATTTTCCCCTCCTCCAAAGCTCTGCTTTTCACATTATTTTCTGTCTGTATTAACACAGGTCATGCTGTAGATAAAATGTCTGGTTGTCATAGGGAAAGGTAAACAAATTCACTCTTGCAGTATAAACTGGTGATTTATAGGCGACTTGACTTTCTTGCTCATTTTTTCTCCTTCTTTAGTTGGACTTACCTGGAGTCTTTCAGAGGCTAATCTGTTTCAAGAGTTGTCTCTACAAAATTTCCTAGTCGTAATTCTGGACTCCCGCTGTATTGTGTTGGGTTTTATTACTACTTAGCCATAAAGGACCCAAAGGGTTTCTTAGTTTGTACTTGTAGATTTCAAGGGCTTCAGAGAGTTCCCTTTTGATTCTCATGAGCCACATTGCTCGAGCCTTGAGCTTTCTTATGTAGGGAAAAGCATTTGGTTGGCCCCTCAGTCATTTCAGAATGCTTTTCTTAGGCGTGTACCAGCACACAATATTCACAGTTCAGTGCAATTCTTGATGCTGGGTTCGCAGTTCTGTGCAGTTTTGGTACAGCAGGGAAAACAGTTTGTGTCAAAATTATTGATTATTAAAACTGTAAGCACAATTTTGAATGGTTATAAACCAATGGCTATGCATCTGCTGATGTTAGGGCTGTGCGATATATTTTGGATGACAAAATAAAAACGTCTATCATTTCATATTATCACAAAATACACCATTTATGGCAATACTTCATCATCATTTGGATGACTGTTTGCAATGTTAGATGCCACCATGTGAGATATGGCACTTGTATGGATGTTTTTGTTGGGCTTTATTATTTGTAACCCACAGATGATAATCCACAAATATGTACCATAATCCAAAAATATTGAACTATCCACACACACATATTTAAATTTGTGTTCTGTAAAATCATATCCCCAAAAATACAGAGCAATATGTACCCGAGATTTATTTATAGTAACTGGCAGTGAATGAACAAAGTGCAATTAGTAATAAATATGTATAAAAATGCATATATGAAAGTTTCATGGTGTGCATTGTCCCTCATAGCTTAATGTGTAAAGCACAGTTAACTGGACATGTCTGTATTGTTTAGGTTTATACACATTAGGCCTTTTATTCTATTTTGTGCACTTCAACTGAACACAGTACAGTTATTAGTAACAGAAAAGTATAGTGAGGGATCGCAAAACTATTGTGAGAGAACTCAAAACTATTTCAATAAATATTTTCCTACCCTGACCTCTTAGGAGCTCCGTTTACAATCACAAATACATCTTTATCCACAAACATGTATTTTTATTTGTGTTGTATAAAATCATATCCACAAAAATTTGGTATGATCTGTACACCTAAAATGGGTTTTGCACATTTGTGGATCACTTCCTGTCTATTTGTGAATTGCTTTACATTTGTGACCAGGTTCCTTTTTATTTGTGTATTTTTGTTCATTTTGTACTGCAGTGGATCTGTAGAAAAAAATCCAAAAATATGAGGTGCAGCTGAGATTTACAGTATATAATATATATATTTGGAATCTGGATTCTGAATCATTTTGCTTAATTGACTTTCTAAGATTCATGTATGTCAAAATAATCACTGCTAAAACAAAGATTAGCCCTGCCACTTAGTCGCATCATATTGCATAATACGGTACATAATAAACATTATTTATATAATTTTATTATTGTTTGTAAACGTATTCTCTGTTTTGATTAGGGCTGAATGATATATTTGGCCATCAAATTTTCCCCCGAAGTCTGCCAGGAGACAAAGTAGTGCCCACAAATCTCTTGCTTTTACTCAGTATCTTCTCTGTGGAATACAAAATATTTCCACACAGCAGAAGACAATTTTTTTTTTTTTGAGGCCAGATCATATTCACTTTTCCTTGCTCATTTTTGTTTGATTTCTCACAAACGTGTCATGAAGTTTATGTATGAGTACAACAGCAAGGACAAGAATGATTACGATTGTCCAGGAGAGTGCATTCAGAGCTCATGCAAAAGCAACTGTGGTCAATTTAGACACATTTTTAAACATGTACTAGATAATGTTGAAAAGGAATCATCACTTGGGGTGCAATATACTTCACACGAGGTGACACATACGCAATATGACATGTAAGCAGTGGCTGATTGCACTTGTACGCGTAGTTTCCATCTCTGGAGGATTATTGGTCACGTCCACCAGGGGGCAGTGTGAGAACCATCTTGATTGGCTCCTTCTTCCGTTTCATTTGTTTTGTATGAGGTTGTGACTTGAAATGATGTACGCTCACTCTCCCCAAAGCGATACAAATTCTGCTGCAGCATTCCTGTATTCTAACCATTGCTCCACATCGTACTGCCACATATTACTTTACTACCCCATGTTGAATGGTGCATTGTATGTTGTTAGATGTCTCGTGGTAGTTAGTATATCATAATTAGGCTGCACGACACTGGAAAATATCAATTTCTGCAATAAGTATTGCAGTATTCATTAAGAAAAAAAAATTGTTCAAAATAAATAAATGTCTCTCAAACACATCTATTTATGAGTGATTTAAATAGCAAGGATAAAATGATTAGGAATGGCTTGAAGAGCGCATGCAAAGCTCATGCAGATGTAGTGGTGGTAAATTTTAAACTAATATTAAACATATAAATACAATATAAATGTTCTAGCGAAACGTAAACCCCACGTTCTCTGCAAATTGTATGACCAAGATTTATAAATATCAAAACTGTATTGATAAATAATGTTGTTTATGAAACATATGATACTGCTTTCTTAGAACGTTAAACTGCCATTAAATTTTGAAGACGCTGTACGCAGAAGGACATAGTAGTGCTCTCAATATTTTCTCTCTTGCTTCTGAAAATATAGAGTTCTTCCAGTCACTCATTCTTAAAAAAAGAAAATCAAGATGTTGCCTTAATACCAACTGGTGTACATAAACACACAGTCCCGTGAGAAAAGGTGACCGTACTGCCACCCCAATTTTTGGTGGTACTGCACCTCGTGTACATGTCGCGTTAATTCCTCGCAGGTGCACCTACAACACGTGGAATGAACGCAGAAAATGCGTGGTGGCCATGATGCGTACATGTATGAGTTATGAGTGTCAAGTATAAATCAGC